GTTAAACTCTGAAGTGTTGGCAACTGGCTGAAAAAAAATATTAATATGTAGCAAGCCATATCAGCAGAAAGATCCAGAAGATACCTCAAAGATGAAGCCATAAGATGTGGCATGCCTTGCACTTTGTTCTTAGAAATTTTGCTTTGTCCTTTGAGCTTATCATTGATATTTGAAAATTCACTTTGTTACATATTACAATAAGTTATTTCTATATGTGGGAGAATATCTAGAACTTAAGAGTCCATGAGTTCAAGTATCCACTCAGGAAGACAATGCCAATCAGCTGGAGAGAGCAGTGGCAGGTGGGACCTAAGCCAGTGCAGAAACTAAATAGCCTCTGGCTTCTGTTTTCATATTCTGGCTCCTTTCCCAAAAGACTTGCAATCATGCTCTTAAATCACGTCCCCAAACCACAAATTGTATTAGACAGAGCAGGTCCTACAGGGCTCAACAGCCTCCATAATCATGACCTTGTCCGGTCTCTGATTTGCAACAGCTGATTTGCAGTAAGTGGTACAGGTACCACTGAGAAAAGCGACTCAGGTCAGTCTTTACTGCCTGGAAGAATTTCCCGGAAAAGAGCAAACAAACAAAAGATTATTCAAAAGGAAAATAATGGCATTTATAAATAACAGTCATTTTTAAAAGGCTGCAAACTGGGGTGAAACCAACTGTCTTGATACAACAGTCACTTCTGAGGACCACCGAGAATTATGTTTGTCTCTTTTGCATCGGTTTTTATGTTGAGATATTCAAAATCACATAGAAAAAGGCTAGAATTGCCTCTAGGCCATACAAAAGTAGGGGGACTCCCTGTTCAAAGAGCTCACAGTGACCTGTCCTGAGAATCAACCTGGGACAGAGGCAGAGCCAGAACATAAGTTTTAAGAGACCTGACATGAAAAAGAGGCCCACACTGTTCTTTCAATAAAAAGCCATGGATATGTGCAGCAAGGATTCATATTATCACAGTATTTCCTTCACATTGGGCTTCCAACTATAGTCAGAGAGTTCCCAATGAACTTAGATTTACACAGAAACTAATTGGTGTGTGGGTGGGTGTGTGGTTTTTGTTTTGGCTTTGGTTTGGTTTTAGTTTTTTGTTTGTTTGTTTGTTTGTTTTTTGAGATATGGTTTCTTTGTATAATAGTCCCCATTGTTCTGGAAGTCACTCTGTAGACTAGGCTGGCCTCAAACACACAGAGATCTGCCTGGGAGTGCTGGGATTGAAGGCATGTGCCACTGCCACCCAGCTAGTTTTTAATATATGTATGTCCAGTGTTATATCAGTGACACATGAAGACTAAAACTGTATTCATTATTACCTGAAACTCAATTTAACTGGGTCTGTGTTTTGGTTACTAAAACTGAGAATCTGACATATCTTTCAAAATTATCTTCAAATGGCCTTGGTTCGTTTTTTGTTTGTTTGTTTGTTTGTTTTTGTTTTTGTTTTACCATCAGCCCAGACATATCCTCTGAACTCCAGACCCCTAAAATCAATTTCTAACTCAAGATCTTCACTTTAGTGTCTAAGGGACATTTAAAGCTCAACTGAATTAATCAACTGCTGCTCTCTGACAACAGTCTGCTCCTTCCCCTGGACTGGTTTCCCCTGCATTCTATCTTGCCCCTGAAATGTCCATTGCTTGAGTCAAATAATGTCCACCTCAGCTTCCTGTGCTCTGCCACTTCAAAGTCTTTGTATTTTTGTAATTCTCAAATGAATTGGGGGAGCTCATGATCTTGCTTCCCTGTAAGTGTGAGGCTAGATAAAAGCCTTGAATAGTTTAGAGGATGGTGAAATAACCCCCAAGGGTGCCCACACAGTTTCTTCTAGGCCAGGGATATCTCTTCCTTGGAACCAGAAAGGCTCTTGCTCCATTTGTGCCCATCAACCAATAAATGACTGGGCCTAAAGAGGGCAAAGGTGGCACCAGCCTTTGCCTTTTTACGCTCACCTCCAGGTTTTCACTTTCTCTTCCAGACATGCCTCTGAGTTTTCTAAACTGCTAACTGCTGCTTGGGGAAGCACATCTCACTACCTGATACCCTCAGCCCCATACCTGTATTAAAGGAAACATTTAGCTCTGTACTTATAAAGGGAGGCCATGGAACTTTCTGGGCTCTCAGTAAATCTTTACTGACCAACGAACAAAGAAATGGCATGACATCAGAAGAGAATGCACAAGGTGTATGTCCTGCATGTATCCTAGGACATTTTTTGCCCGTTCTTTGTTTGGTATGAACAAGGCATGTTGTAAATGCTCAGAGGCCTCATCTTATCAACAACAGGCTATCTAAGAGTCACATAACCAGAGAAGCCCTTTTAAGCAATTGTGTACAGACCAGTGAGTAGTTTTTTCTAAGATTCCACCAGCTGTTGTGACTCTGGAATGCTCAAAAAAGAAATGATCATCTCTTCTGTGACTCCAGGCCACCTCAAAGGTGACAGGGATGCTGGAGAAGATCAGCTGAAGCAGAAAGGGTCAACTGCTTTAGCACACTTTCAGATACTCAGGGTCCTACACTTGGCATACAGCACAACCAGCGTGGAAGCTGGTGCTTTCTGTCACACAGTTTCACTATGCCATCATGCCAAGAACAACTTCCCATATAACGTGCCAAGAATGTCAAGTACACGTTTGTAAGTGGTCAGTAGGATTCACAACCTAACTTACAAAAAGGGACTAGAAACCATTTGAGAAACACAATTTAATTTGGGGAGAAACCTACCTGTAATTCTGTTATCAAAACACCAAAGAGGGCCCTAGAGCCATGGTTCAGTGGTTAAAAGCACAGGTTGCTCTTGCAAAGGACCCAGGTTCATTCCCAGCACCCATATGGTGGATTGCAACAATCTATTACTCCAGTTCCAGAGGATCCAACACCCTCTTCTGGCTTCCTCAGGCACCAGGCAACCATATGGTATACACACACATGCACGTGAAAATATACACATGTAGACATATGTTCATACACATAAAATAAAAATAAGTAAGTCTAAAAAGTCATCAAAGAATTATATAAGTCCTGGAACAAATAATGTTTTGTTCCATTATTAATAGAAAACAATTTGTACTGCTTATGTGGGACACAAAAAGGCTTCAAGTTTCCTTTTAAAAAAATCTGAAAATGATTGCATTGGATAGAAAAGTTGCTTAGAAAAGTTCAACTTTAACAAGTTCACCACTATTTTGACACATTAGTTCCATATTATGCATTTCTCTGGTATCTCAGCTTTTAAGGAAACAATCAAGTTTAAGTGGAATATATATATATATATATATATATATGTAATTTTATACACGCGTGCACACACATATATATTATATATAGTGTCAAAAGTTCCCATGCTTTGTCAAGAACATAATAGAACATATATTATTATGTTGGTGTGCCTTGGTTTTTCAAACTTTCTAAAAATTGTGTTATAGAGCAAAACATATCTTCCAAGTATACATAAAAAAGTATAATTGGCTCTGTGTCCTTAAAAAAAATATTCTCCCAAATAAAAATAATAACTTGGTTAGCCTAGAGAAATAGGTTCACAGGTAGCCAATCAAAATCGTGATGCTTTGAAGGCAGCCTTTTGGGTTTGTTTTGTCGTTTGGGCTGGCAAATTCTATTCAATTGTCAAGAATGTCCTGAGTTAATGGAGTGCTCACTTATTTTCTAGGAAGACTTTGCTGCAGTCAGCTCTGTCCCCATCGATGAATTTTCTGAACTCTAACTTTCCCGAATTGTCTTCCTGGCTGCATTAGAGTAACTGCTTTCCCAAAGATGGGTAGAATGTTTTCATCCTCCAATTTTATCGCTTAATTCTTTCCAATTATCGCTTTTTAACTTGAATGTTGTACTTGGTAGTTCTCTCAGGCCGTCTGAAATCTGTACATGACAGCAATCATACTGTTCAAAACAGTCTCTTGCACATGTCACTACGAGGAAAACTACCCGCCCTGAATATAGCTATTAATGTCAAACAGATTGTCGTCTGAGAAAAAAAAAAAAAAAAAAAGCATCAAAATCAGCTTCGGACAAAGTACCGCTCTGTGGAAAAACACCAGTTTTTTATTTGCAAATGTCTTCAATTCCTGATTGAAATTTTTAAAGACTGAGTTGGGGAAGAATCTGTCCCTGTTCTCTGTAATTCAGGGCAATGTACAGATAGTTTCAGAGCTAAAGATTTCTAGTCAGAGCAGACTATGATTGTTGTTGTTGGGTTTTTTTTTTTTTTTTTTTAAACCAAAGATGCATTTGCCCCAGTTTCTAGTAAGCACTGTAAAAGAAACGTTTGGATTCTAGCTCGGGTCGAGGGCTCTATTTAGCCTATCGAAGCACAGACCTGTTATAAACGCTGGGACGCTTGCCATAACCCCCTCCCCCTTCCGGAAACTGAGTAAAAACCATACCTCGAAAGCAACGTGCATTGCAAGCCACGCAGACTTAAGCCCCCTTTCCTGCCTCCCAAGATTGGGCACCAACGGCCTTGGGCAGGTATTTCACCTCCTAAAACTCAAGTAAGTTGCCACCTCCTCCCCCACCATGCGCCCATCCTTGTGCGTCTCTCTGGGGCTCCACTCGGAGCCACCCCCAGAGCGCACCTGCACTCCTCCAAGTCCCTGCAGCGTGAAGTAGTGCCGCCCAGCTCCCAGCCAAGCACGCACCTACAAATGCTTCCCTACTCCCTCTGCTGCAAACTGCCCTCAAATTAATCATCCACCTCAGCCCCTCTCTCCAAACCCCACGTCCTTGCCTTTTTTTTTTCCCTCCCCTGATGATTCCGTCCCCGCAAACACCTGTACACCCACCCCTTCAACTGCCAGACATCAGGTGCCCACGCTGCTCCTTGCCCTGCGCCCCCTCTCAGCTCGGCTGCCGTTTCCCCCTTGGTTTACAGGACGGCCACCTGGCTCAGAGTAGCTTCTGTCACCCGTGCTCACCCGCAGACGGCCCCCACTCCCACCCCCACCAGCACCAAGAAGAGACACCCACCGTACCTGCGGCGAGCTCGGCGCCCAGGGCTACCAGCAGGAGGGCCAGGCTCAGTGCGGAGCCGCGCGCTGGGGTCATGGCCACCAGGCGGCCGTACGGGGCTGCGGGGGGCCCCAGAGCGCAGCGGGGCGACCGACCGGGCGGCGCGGGCCGCTTTGAAGTTCCCGGGGCGCGGGAGGGGAGCGCAGCCGCGACACCCTTCGGAAGTGCGCGGTTGGCTCTAGTGGCAGCGGGCGCTCCCCTCCGCCGCCTCCCCCATCCCACGCCCCCCGCGGCTGGCGGCGCGCCGCTCCTGCCACTGGCCCCGCGGGCTGCCTCGAGGGACAGGGCCCGCCCCTGCCGCGCCTCCGCGGGCACCGCTGCCAGCCACCCGCCCGAGGGCGGGGCAGGAGACCGAGGGCGGAGGGGTGGCGGGGAGGTGACACCTCTTGTGGGCGAAGAGGAGCGGGCCGCACCAGGTCCCCGAGATTAGCTTTCTCCTTGTGGGGGTGGGAGTGGGGGGATAGGAGAGCAAAGCCCGACTGAGACTTTAGAGACACGTAGGACGGCAGCAGCTGCTTTCTCTACATTCTCCTACAGAAGATCCACCTTTCCAGATCTCTCCACATTCGTTTATTCGTCCTGTGTCCCTAAATGTAACTAGACTGAGCCCTGGCAATACCCTTAGCTATTCCTACCGGCTTGTCCCACCAATGCATCCTAATCTGTGAGAGCGCACCCTCTCTGTGGATCCCTGGAAATGACCTCCTGCACCATTGCCTTCGGACCTACAGCTCTGCTTTACCAAACAAACTCTATTTCATGTGTTCATCTGAAGACTTCCTGTGCCCTAAAAATGACGGCACAAAGCTGAGTCGACTGTGCCAAGTGGATATGGCCATCTATAATGAGTAATGGAAGTGAAGGACCAGCCTTTGTAGAAGGTTATCTCTGCTGGTAAAGCTTTAGCAACCGGGGGTGGGGGGGTGGGGGGTGTAGGAGGTGGTTAAACACACAGGAGGAAGAAAAGAATTGCTCAAATGGTAGAAAGTTGGTTGAGCATTTCTTAACACCCCCACCCCAACCCCGAAAAGGCACCCTCCTGAGAGGGCGTATTGTCAAATGGCTGCACTTCCCATCTAGATCAGGATCCAAAATACAAGAGTAACCATTACCAATTAAGTAGAAACAAAGCTAAACTCAGTTTACCCATGCAGCCTGAACATAAACGTGAATTTTTTTTTCATCTGAATAACACACAGAACCAAGACTACAAGTCAGGTGCTATCACTGATGTTAGAAGGCTCTTTGAGTGATTGAGTCATATAAATTAATTTGCTTTAGAGTAAGAGATCCTTCTTCACCTATCTTAGCACTAAATAACCAGTGTTCTTTTGGAAGCCTAGGGAAACCCTGGCATAAGATGGCTTCCCTGTTAAAGGATGATGGCACTGTTGGAGGCGGGATGCGTGATGGACTTGGAAGCACGAGAGTGGCAGTGCTGGGGGACTTTTGTACCACCACGGAGGATGAATCAAAACATCCCTGAGTATAAAAAAGACTTCGTCCTCATTTCATCCTGGATCCAAACAAACAAAAAAACAAAACAAAAAAGATGGGAGATGTGGTTCACATCTGAGCCCTTCCAGACACCCACAGAAGACACTTTTTAAAGTAGGCAAGAAAATGCCAGGGCACGATATATTTTGGTTTTGTCTTGGCCCACAGCTGGATTCTCAGTTGGCACTTGAGCAGAACTGAGCACTCTCCGGGTCTGCTTTAGAACAGACCAGATCAAAAAAGACAGTGTGAGGGTGTTGCCGAAGCCCAGACATGGAACAGAAGCCAGGTGTTTATTCCCAAATATTTGCCTTTAATACAGAAAACCTCTCTGCAAGTTGGAATGCTCTTGTTTTCTAAGAACGCAAGGTTTTCATGCCAAGAAGTCTGATGTTGAATAACGTTAACATTCCAAAGGTTTTCTCTCAGTCTGATGGTGCACTGTCAATACGGTCTCTACAAACAGTGGGTGGGCATTGAGTGCTTGCAAAGTGTCCAGAGCAAATCGACATGTGCCATAAGTATAAAATCCATGCCATGTTGGGAAGATATAGTGCAAAAGTGACAATATAAGATACATTATAAACAAATAAATTTACCTTGTTTTACAAGTCAAAACTATAATATTTTGGGCAATTGGAATAAGTACATCAGAATTTATGTGGCAACAGTCTCATAAGATTACAAGAGAAATTTTTTTTAAAAATCCTGTTTCCAAGTGACATTAATCCATCAGAAAATTGTAGCATAGCACGGAACATACTTTAAAGAATGTTTTGTTATATCCTTTTATTTACATTTACTGGGGATAGTGGTGTGTGTGTGTGTGTGTGTGTGTGTGTGTGTGTGTGTGTGTGTGTGTGTGTGTAATCCAGAGCATGCCTGTGGAGGTCAGAAGACAACTTGAAGGTTCCAATTTTCTCCCCCCACCAAGTCGGTCCCAAGAATTTAACACAGGCCTTCTATCAGGCTTAGCAGGGTAAATGCAGAGCTGTCTCCCCAGCCCCAAGACTTACTTTTGATGGGATACTAGTGTGAAATATAAAACCTACTGTGCTGAGAGTCACACACAGTTGTGCACAGCACATACATAATACTTGATAACAGTAAATGATTGTGCCTGGTTTATATATTTACTATATTATACTTTTATTTTCAAAGTGCATTCCTTCCACTTAAATATATTTATAGCCATATGTAAGTTGGCTGCCTCTGACAGGCTCTTCAAGAAGGATCCAGAAGAAGGCTTTATTAAAACAGAAGATTGCAGCGTTATGAATGTGTTGACAGTGAAGACCATCCCCAGGGACTGACTATATATACTAAAGATAGTAATTAACAGTGATAATAAGATATAGAGCAGCGCATCTAGGCTCTGTATCTTAGTTTTAACAACAACAATTAAAAGTGGAAGTGGGCCAGTGTGGTGTTTCTGCAGGTAAAGGCGCTTGCTGCTAAACCTAATGATCTGAATTTGATCCCCAAAACCCGCATGGTGAAAGTAGATAACCAACTACAACATTTGTCCTGTGACCTCCACATACACTTCCTTGTCCTCCATGGATCGACGGATGGATAGACAGACAGACAGACAGAGGTAATAAAATATTTTAAGAAAAATAAAATTTTAAATAGATTAAAGCTTACATTATAGAGATATAAAGAAAGACTATAACATTTGTGTTTTAAGCTGACATTACAAAAAAGTCAAGAAGTTTCCAAAAAAAAAATTAAGGATATTCTAAACAGAGCTAAATTTATTATTGAAGGAAGAACAATATTTTTAATTTTTTACAAGCAAGATAGTACACAGTGAGATTTGATGTCTTCTAGTTCACTCGCTGCTCACTTGTAAGTAGCTTGGAGCAACCCCTAGTCCTTTACCTGGAGCAAGTTTTCTTCTGGGTGGCTCCCCATGCACTTTATCACACTGTATTTCACAGTGGCTTTCCTGTATTTGGATATAGTTAGACTCAAAAGCATTTAGCATTCTGACATAGTTGTCGAGAGATTCAGTTCAGAAACACGCTGTGCAATTTGTAGCTTGGGAGCAAAGGTTGTACCATATAATATAGGTGTGTAAGAGGCCACACTATCTCAGTTCAGGTAAATACACTCTATGATGGTTCCACAACAAAGAAATTGCCCAATGACTCATTTCTCAGAACATATTCCTTCACATGGCGATCTATTACTATACATTATAAAGATTGTTGCCACAGAAATCTTTCTACTTTTTAATCTGTGCTATGTTTTGCATAAGTGTTCCCTACAGGTTGATAGGGTAAAGCTCTCTTATCTGTGCTCCTATTGGCATGTGGGAGTGACTCTAAAAGGTGGAGCTTTTAAAGGAACATAAAGGTCTTTAGGCCGTGGGGACATATCCCCGAGAATAAAGTGAGAGCCATGACCTTCCTCTTCCTCTCTTTCACCTCCCATTCACGAGGTAAGCAGTTTCCCGCTGCTACTTCTTCCCATCTTAGTGTGCTGCCACAGGTCCAAAGTTACAGGGTCACCAGAGGGGACAGCTCCATCCTTACATTGTCTGTCATGTAATAACGGGGACCTGTTTCAGATCCCAAGCACCCACATAAAGCACATATCTATAACCCCAGCACTTTGAAAGTAGACATGGGTGTAGTGGGTAGCCATTCCAGCTTGGATCTGGAAGTTCCAACCCCCATTGAGACTCTGGCAACTGTCACACCTACGAGGCTGGGCAAGGGGAGGTGCCTGGGGACCTGAGAGCTAGATGGGCCAGTGCTCTCTCTGTGCACTCTCTCGGTGCCGGGACGCTGAACGGTGAAAGGTGGACTGTGCAGAGCTCCGGAGAACACCGCTGGATTGCAATACACCTTCCCCAGACCCTGCGACCTACCCATTACTTAATTTGTGAGTTACGCCATTAAATAAATATCCTTTTAACTACGTGGAGTGGCCAAAATAATTTCTCCAATACATGGGTAGATCACAGACCCTCACTGGCCAGCAAATATAACTGAATTGTTGAGCTCTGGGTTCAATGAGAGGCTGTGACTGTGTCTTTAAAAAAAAATAAGGTGACAAGCAATAAGCAAAGACACTCAGTGTTGACCTCTGACTTCCATGCCTGCACACAAGAACATGTGCACACAACACACACACACACCACAACACACCACACACACACACACACACACACACACACACACACACACACGAGGCTTCTCTTTAGAATTTGATTATCTCAGGTTTTGCTGTATTTGATAGAAAAGTGACTCTATACATGTGTACACGCAAGCATTTGTGTGTGTGTGTGTGTGTGTGTGTGTGTGTGTGTATGCATGTGCCTATACCTTATGTGTGATTTTGCAGAGGCCAGGAGAAGGCACTGGATGTCATTCCCTATCACTTTACACAGTATTCTCTTGATACAATAGTTTGCCTTCCCACCACCCACCACTCCCTCACCCCCATTAGACTGGCTATCCAGCAAATTCAGAAATTTTCCTGTCTCTTCTGCTGTGGAATATTACTTTAACTAGGCAAAGATGTGTTACATTTGTTTATGTTGCAGAATGTTACTTTAACTATGTAAATGTGTGTTACTTTTTTATGCTTCATTTGTTTAATGATGTACAGTTCTATTGCTTTGCCTGCCTAAGGCACCTGATTGGTCTAATAAAAAGTTAAATGGCCATTAGGTAGGCAGTAGAGGAGTAGGCAGAATTGGCAAAAAAGAGAGAATAAGAAGGAGGGGAA